TGTGGAGTATGTCTGCTTTATGCTGGTTTGGGGGGTTTAATCTGTGGATAGAGACAGAATCTGGACTATAATCCACCATTATAACACTGGGATCAGCATTTGATACTGGCGGACGGACTGGTTTTGACCGGAGAATTGTGCTGGTTTGAACCGGGCAGGCAGTCTTGGTCCTGGTTTTGATTTTAGAACTGGTTTGGGTGGAGATGGCGGCCGCTTCATCATTCAAAGAACCATGGATTAAAATATTGTCGACTCAGAGGGTAAATGAATATGCTAATGCTTTTGTGTTGCATTACTGCACCAAAGAACGTATTATATAGAGTTTTAATAGTATTAACTTTTCATTTATAACACTATACTTTTACTTTTTATGGTTATTTTTCTAGGATGAGCCGCTCTTGTTGTACTGTTACTCATTTTTAAGTCACTTTGGATGTGAGTGTCTGCTAAATATATAACTGCACATGTAAATTGGATTATACCAACCTTTAATATATATTAAGATTATATATAACCTTTATTTTAATGTTAAACCAACTGAGCCAAAAGTACATTCAGACTATTCTTACTAGTCCCTTTATAAAGAAATGTTCCATATAGAAATGTCCCTTCAAGGTGACGTCAAGTTTTGATGTTTTTAATACTTTGTCGCCTCGAGAATAGCAAAATCTGTCCTTGTGAACAGCGACACAAAGCGTCTTTACTTCTGGTAGCGGTTTCAAACACGGGGACTTTGGCTTTCATAGAGCTAGTCTAGATTCCTCTTGCACTTGTTGCGCTTCATAGACATGTTTGCATTGCTGAAAATGTCAGACAGCCAAGCATCCGTTTGTCACATAATACGCCATCTCACTGATTACAACCTCAAAAGCAGATTTTAAAATTGCCCTCTTTAAAACTTCAGCTGCTGGGTGTCTGCTGCTCTTCTAGTGTTTCTTGTGTGGGCTAGAGACTGTGTTGTGTAAGAGGAGGTGATCTGTGTTTAAATGAGGCCGGCTAATCGTATTAGGTCATTTGAATTACCCAGATGCTGACAGGGGACTTTGGCACTGTGTGTGTTTCTTAGCCGTATTCTTCCATTGGTAGTTTTAATAGCCTCACCAGAAATGAAAATTCAGTCATTGTTTACTCACCCTTGTGTCGTTCCAACTTAAATGCTGTTATTTTTTCCATGGAACACAAAAGTAGGAATTTTAAAAGATTTCCATGCGGTTCTTTACGTATATTGATCATTTATAGGGACTGCAAAACAGAAAAACACAAAAAAGGCAATAAAGATATCATAAACGTAGTCCATATGATTTGTGTTAATAATGTTTTGCATTAAATTGTTTACAAAATTTCAGTCTATTCCTCGCACATGTTACTTTAGAAGACATAGCATGCACGTTGTTTGGACTTTTTTACTGCATGGTTTTTGGTTTAATTTTGGTTTGGTTTGTTCAGATTAAAACAATTCATATTGTTTTGGAACGACATGATGGTGAGTAACTAATGACCAAATTTTCATTTTCGTTGAACTGTACCTTTAAATAATAGACTGAAATTTATAATGTGGAGTGCAGAAACCTAAATCATCACCCACATGTACATCCTGTGTCTGTGTGCACAAACACAAGGTTTGAACGTTCATCCTGTCTGCTGGCTGAATGCATGCGGACAGTTTGCACGAACAGGAATTGAAGAGTAGTGTCTTCTTTCATAAGGACAAAGTGAAATGGTCTTGTGCATCTAACGCTCGTACAGATGGAGGGAGGGATTATCTGACTGAATTCTTCAGACTTCGAGATGGTTGAAGAGAAAATGGGGGGATGCTGGAGTCAAACGAAGGTGATCAAAGCGATACTACAGTACGATACCATTTACGTGTTGAATTTAGGGTAGATTCTGTCTAATGTGTCAAGTAAAGTTAATGATGTGATTGTATTGTGCACTGTAAAGATTTCAGCAAAGAAATGAAATTTCAGTCGTTGTTTACTCAACCTGATGTCATTCCAAATGCTGTTATTTTTTTGACACAAAAGTAGGATGCAGTTCTTTTCATATAATGATCATTTATAGTGACCAAAAAAAGGAAATAAAGAAATCATTAAAGTAGTCCATACAATTTGTTTGGGGAGTGTTTAATAATAACACTTTTTTTTTTTTTTGCATAAAAATGGTAAAAAGTTTTTACAAAATTTAAATCTGTTCCTCACTCATATTCATATCATATTACTTCAGAAGACATGGAACACAGTATGCAAATGCAAGTACTGTTATCAGGAGACATTTTAGGATTTTAGAGTTGCTGTATGGTTTTTAGAAATCTAAAAAGTTATTAATTTCATTATAGGTTCGTAAGTGTTTTGATTTCTGGGTTTCGTTCTTTGTAGAACTTAAAGGGATGAGTTTCTTTCTTCTGGAAAGAAAAAAATACTATGCAAGTCTGTGGAGACCAACAATTGTTTGGTTATCTAAATTCTTCAGAAAGTCTAATTGTGTTCAACAGAAGAAAGAAATTCATACAACTTACAACAGGTTCTTTTATGACAGTTGATTTAAAATAAGTTTTGGCTCTATCTGGAACGTTTATTATCCACAGTCATGTGACTTGAGTAGTTTAGAGGGACATTAGCAAGAACTTCCTGTTGTGTTTCGTTATGTAAGGCGTTTTTTTGGGGTTGTTTTTGTACAATTCAATTACATATGCTTCATAAGTTGTTGGTGCAGTATATAGGATTTCTTGCTGGTCAGATACCGATATTGGATCAGTTAAATTAACAAGTCTAAGTATTTTCTGTCATATTTTACCCAGCATGCAGCAGGCTCTTAAACTGAGCCCGTCACGTCTCAAATGTGTGATCAGTGTTAGCTGAGGTGTGACAATTGAGTGCGTCTGCTAATAGGACTCATGTCTGTGGTGTGTTTGTGTGTTGTAAAGCAGTTTTACTGGAAATCATCTGGAAATGGAAAATTAAAACCCTACACACACCTCATCAAACCTGTATGCAATCATCAATAGATGACCACAACACAAGATATTAATAAAACTTTCAGGGCCAGTAACTTGAGCACTGCAAACTTAATGTGGGCACATGCGTTTCTGAATGTGGTTTAAGTGGTTGGATCACAATTATTATTATTTTTTTAGTATTTACGTATCCTGGAAACATAAAATCACCTGTATTCACTTCCAGATTTCAGTTTTGAATAAAACTTGGACTGTTCACTCTATAGATCTGGTTCCTTGTGTTTTTCTGATAGGAAACCTTCAGAAACATCTTGAACTTGATGCAGTAGAGATCCAAGCTTTAATTTGTGAATTATGTATGTAATGATTTGTACAATGATTTGTGAGCCAATCTGTTTAGATTTTGACTTCAAAACCTGGCAAATTTAAAATTGCATGTAAAACTGATACATGTAAACTGTTTTTTCAACCTCATACTGTATAGTTTGCACTTATTACTTTAGTAACATCATTCTAGCACATTAAGTGAAAATACAAAAATTAATGCATTCGTTAAAGGGGTCATATGATGCTGCTAAAAAGAACATTATTTTGTGTATTTGGTGTAATTAAATGTGTTTATGCGGTTTAAGGTTCAAAAAACACATTATTTTCCACATACTGTACATTATTGTTTCTCCTCTATGCCCCGCCTTTCTGAAATGCGTCGAGTTTTACAAAGCTCATCGGTCTGAAAAGCGAGGTGTGCTCTGATTGGCCAGCTATCCAGTGCGTTGTGATTGGCCGAATACCTCAAGCGTGTGACGGAAATGTTACACCCCTTACCATATTGTGATGCCATGTCCCGGAGCGACGAGACAAAACCAGTAAAACCCATTACAAACGAGGCATTTGTAGCATCCAGTGGGGACATAATTACGGATTATAATGACTTATACTGTCTTTTTACGTATTGCGTTGCATCGCGCAGCGTAAACATAAAACCACGTCTGCATTTGTGATTGGAGAAATGACAAACAACAAACGCTACTCTACACTGCCCAAAAAACTCTCGTTTGAATCATCAGTGGCAAATTCTTTAAATATGAAAACGTAACACAACGAAATCAGAACAGCAGGCATTGTAGTCTACTCTACCAGGATCAGGAAACAGTCCTCCATAAAATGCTGCACACATCTGAATATTTGGGTTGAACTGTTCTGGAACAGTGTTGTAAATACAACTTAACCACTGATTTCTAGTCGTGTCCTCTTTTGGAAGGCCAAACAAAGTAGTTTCGCTTTCAAAACGAAAAAGCGTCACACACCTTGAGTGAGCGGAGGCCGGCAGCCTTGAGAACGGCACGGCCGGCGGATTCGACGAAGGAGCTTCGTCCACGGTGAAAGCCGATCCGGCGATCCACAGCGCGAAGTTGATGTATTTCCTCAGCAACCAGCACGGATCAGCTCCAGGCATGACGAAGCGGATATCGTCCTCTTTTGGAAGGCCAACCAAAGTAGTTTCGCTTTCACAACGAAACACACAGCGCCTTCACGACATGGCGGCGGCGGCAACAATACTACAGCGAGAATAAAAGTTACTCCTTCTTTCTTTGCGTGAACATTTGGGCGGCATTATGCAAATCTTCCCACATAGTGATGTAGATATGTGGGGGCATGTTAGAACGAGCCGTTTTAGGTAGGTGTGGCTGACTCTTAACTTTTAAAAAGAATATCTCTTTGGATTTGAGACTTTAGTCTTTGCAACTTTACAGATCTTCTTTATGCACCAAGAGCTTGTAACACTTCAAAGAGAAAGGAAAAATTGAAATCGCATCATATGACCCCTTTAAAAAGGTCACTATTTTTGACAGTACTCGCTTTCATGTCAGTATCAGGGTGGGCTTTTCCTGTCCACTTCCTGCTGACCTAGTAGAATGACACGTAGAACCTTTCCTTGGTGTGGTACATTTTTTATTTCAACAGCTAATTTAGGATGTTGAAACATCAGTCTGCACTGTTATTGTGCCAGCTTTAACATATCTCTCTCTCTCTCTTTCTCTCTCAGGATCAGTTTGATAACCTGGAAAAGCACACACAGTGGGGAATCGACTTTGTGGAAAAATACACCAAATTTGTGAAGGAAAGGTCTGAGATCGAGCTTAACTATGCAAGACAGATCAGGTGAGTGTTGCATCAACCTCTGTGATTAATACATGTGCACTAAATATTTTGGTTTGCATAAACGTTATACATGAAGACTTCTAAATGATGTATACAGGCTTTTATCATGGAATGGGTCATTTTCAGTTGCAGAATAACTAATAAAAAACATTACATCCTTAAAGGGATAGTTCACTCAAAAATGAAATTTCTGTCATTAATTACTCACCTTCATGTCGTTTCAAACCCGTAAGACCTTCGTTCATCTTCGGAACACAAATTAAGA